CTCCATGATCATTGCCTGGCTGTGCTCGCTGTTGTCTTTCATCAACTTCAGGAAGTCGCTCGGCGCGCCCATGGCTCTGTCCATTGATACTGGTACCGATGCGTCGTCTTCCCTCTGCAATTCCGACACCATCTCCTCCGCGCCCTCCAAGAGCGCCAAGCCCGCGCGAATACCTGGCGGCCCTTATATAGCGCCCCTTGCCCTTCTCCCTGACCTGGCCCCCGTAGCTCTGCCCCGCCGCCAGCGACTTCCGAAGCGCGAGACTGCTGACTGGCGCAACGTAGAAATCTGATTTCACGCGGTTCATGTCCCAAGTCTCTGCCGCGGATCGAAGGGCCAATATTCGCAGCCGTTTGGTACACCCTCTTAAGTCGAAATCCTCGTAGTCGCCCCCTGCGCAAGACTGGCGGGCGGGCGGCACGCGCCCCGCCCCCCCCCCCCCCTCTGCCATTGCCGACCCCCCCCGTCGAAGCAGCCGCTGACGAAGGCGGGCTGCCCGCTGCGTTGGCGATGGCCTCTTCTGCGCACCACTGGCCCCCTTCCTCTCCCCTTGCCGCCCTCGCAATGCATCGGCTCTCCTTCCATCTCCGCGCTTGCTCCTCGTTTGAGCAGCGGCGCCCCCCACGGTGCCGTCGCCATCTTTCACGCGGCACGGCGCGGGATGGCGGTGGCGAACACGCATCTGAAAGCCCTCGCAGGTTTGAGCCCGAAAGCCACGGAGGGCACCGGCGAGGGAAGGGGGCTCACGCACGGGGTGGCTCCAGCAACTTCTGTTTTTGGTTTTTGCGGCATATCCCGCGACTCCCCATCGCTCCCACGACATGGCCGTCGCGGTTATTCTCGTCGCGAACGAACTCATGCACCAAGGGCGCTGGTCTGTTATCACCGCTGGGGATCAGAGGAAGACAGCGGCGCATCGCTCTCCTGCGCCCTGCCGGCGCCACCGCCGCGGTAAATCGCGCCCCGCGCACCTGCCCCTCTGCCCCAATTTCCCAATCGCGCCAAAACTGAGCCACCACCTCTCCACCCACCGCAATCTCAGGTAGCGGTGCGCCCCATGCTTCTCCAGCACGGCGCGAGATACTGGGGTCCGACCCCACCCACGCCCCCCAATCCCCTGTGCCTCCCTTGAACATTGAGATGTCTGACTTTCTCTTCTGGCACCAGCTCCACGCGTCCTCGCCGACCTCCGCCAGCGCCCGAAAGTCCTCGACCACCTGATTGGCCCATGGTGTAGAAGCTTCGCATTTCCACTACTTGTCCGTTCTCTGGACCTGGCGGTGACTGCCCAAATTCGACGCTCCAAAAACCGCTGCCAACACAAAGCCAAAACCCTCTGGACATTTCGCCCACTCCATCGCAACCCGCGCATCCTCGGGGCCGTCGAGCAGCGCGGGGCCCCCCATCCCCTGAACGCCTCCTCGTTGGCGTAGGACCAGGTTGCACCGTCTGCCTCCGCCCAGCGCATTCTGCCCCCTACCATCCTTTTCAAAAGGAGTGCCATCGTACTGTCTAGAACCCGCAGGTGACGCTCTCCCAGCACTAGCGCCGCCAGCCCGCTGTGGCCCGCCCCCGCCGGAAACGCCCGGGGCATGTCCTTCTTTCTCTTTCTCTTGTCTTTAGTATCTGAAGACCAGAAGCACCCACACTGCCTGTAGGCAAGCTGCATGGCCTCGCACCTCCCCCCCATCTCTCCCGCGCACCCCTGATCTCCTGGCCTGTAAGGGCCCGATGCTCTCATCTCCCTCATCGGCGTGCCCTCGATATTCTTCTCTCTCTGCAGCTGCCTCGTGGCCCTATCTCGCCCTGGCCCCCGCAGAAAGACCTGGCGGTTGGTCTCGGCTGGGCTCTGGCTCCATCCACCTTTGTCCAGCTTGCTCTCCGAGCGCTAAGTGGTGGCGCTGATTTGCCCTGCGATTCCTGTCGCGCGGGCCCTCGGGCAAACCAGGATAACCTCGCCTCCGCTGGGGGCCGGATGGGGCTGGGGGCCCGCGCACACCGAGATAGCCATGCACTCGCCAAGCCCCACCTGGCGCTCCGAGATTTCCTCGCCAACTCCATGTGCCAGAGGGATCGGGCCCGACGAGACCGCCGCGCGGGCGGGTCTTGGCGATGTCGCCCATGAACCCGCCGGGCGAGAGGTCGTGCTCCTGTTCGTTGACTGGGCCCACCGCGCCATGCAATGGCTACATGTCGCCCCGCCCTCTTTGTTCCTGGTGTCATTGCCACACGTACAGATTGTAAGTATCATTGAACTGTCATGGGCGCAAGGCAAACCAAATTTGCGCTCCTCCCGTAGCCCTCGCATGTAGCCAGTCGTCTGCGCATTCCATACTCATGGACGCGCAGCGCAGCGCCTCGACCGCAACTGACATGTCCTCCTCTCTTGACGCGGCGAAGACTGCTGCCAATAACAATTGCCCCAGCATGGGCGCGCCGGTGCTTTTTCCTCTGCAATGGATACCTTTGTGAGAAGCCGTTCCCATTGAGCAGTGAGCGCGCGTGACTCTGCCCCCTCCTATGCCTTTATGTTGATTGCCATTCTCCGCTGAAAATGGAATGGGCCTGCGCCAGTCCAGCGGCGTTGCTTGCGACTGGTGGCGCTCGAGAAGGGCGCCCTCCATCTTGCTCCTGCATTTCATGCTCGCTTCATTTTCAAATACCGAAGATCCCAGTCCAGCCGTCTCACATCTCCCCAGGCGGCACGCTGTTTGTCGCGTCGCCCCCGACGCTTCGACGTCGCCCATTTTTCCTTCGCCGCCCAACGCCCTGCCTGATATCCAACCCATTTTCCGTAGTATAGACCCCCCCAATCTGCACGTGCAGAGCGCGATGTACTCGTCCAAGTCCCCCTCGTAATCACGCCCCCCCCCCGCCGCTCGCACTCTTTGCCCCTCCAGCTTCTTGCCCAGCTGCTCAGGGCCCTCCAGGTTGACTGCGGGTTCTGGCATCACCCAAGCAAGTTCTACCGGAAATCCCCGCGGGTGGAAGGATCTCCTTCTTGCCGTTTTTTTGTTCCACCGTGCTTTAGCATGTCTCTCTGGTCCCTCTCCGCTTGCGCTCTCAACTCCATATCCAGCGGAAGCGGCATTGTCTCTGCAATCACCTCGTCATGCTCCTTCCCATACTCTTCCAAGCCCATCGGCTCGGCTGCCGACCCCCCTCCACGGGGAGCGCCTGCCCAACTCTGTAATCCACTCCTCCGTGCACCACCACATCCGCGCTGAAACTTAATAAATGCTGTCGGCTCTCCCCCATTCCTCTGAAAATGCCGCCCGGAGCCGGCACATCTCGCTGAAGTCGTTGTTCTCGCATGCTCTCCACATGCCCTCTGCTAGCCCCTTCTTTCCTGTCTTTTCCAGCTCCGCCCTGCGCTTACGCAACGAATAGTACATGGTCCACCTCCTGCTTGATATCCCCCGATCTCTCCTGCGCACCAGAGTCTGCCATGCCCACTCTTAATTAACTGCATCCTCTCAGCCAGTAGGGAGCGCCGTAATTGTTAGAACGCGGCCCCCACTTTTATCTCCCTGCTTCTCCCCGATCGGGAACACCTCTCTCGTGGCGCCCCTGCCCACCCCACTCCATCTTTTCCACGTCTGATCTGCTGCGGGGCGCTCGCGCAGCCCACCCCAAGCTTCGTCCGCCGCGATCCCCCAGCCGAGTTGCACTCCGAGAAAACCTCGCCAGCGCATCTCCCGGGGGGTGAACAGCGCCCTCTTGCGATGCAGTCCGAGAAAAAAACTCGCGAATGCTTCACTTGGGGGCTCAGCCTGGGTCGCACCCCGAGAGAACCTCGCGAATGCCCCCCACGGCTGCTGCGACCGGGCGGCCTGCAGGCGGCAATCGAACGCGCGCAAGAATTATGCTCACAGCCGACCTTTCCTCAAGCACCCCATCACCATGTTGCAGTTAACCTCTTCGTCTGCTCTCTGCTGCCTGCGCTTGCCCGAAAAATGAAACTTGTGCTCCTGTCCGATATCCAAGCCCAGGGGGATGTGGTATCTGTGCCCACCGCGTTTATGTTCTGCAAATTATTCGCCACTCCTCCCATTGCTGCGCACCTCCGCACACGGCGTAAAGCCCCCATCGGAATTGCAAAGCGGTCTATCCTGCTCGACACCATCTTCTCGTTTTTCACACAGAGGTAAGTAGGCCCACAATGGATGAAAGCCGTGACCAGCGACAACAGGCCGTGAACACAGTCCCAAAATGCTGTGCCACTGTCGTTCTCCACTTCATCAGCCACTGGCCCCTACGCTGCTGCATGTTTGCTCGAACTGTGCCTGCTGAACACCAGATCATTGCTGTCCGACCTGTGCATTCTCAACTGGCGGTTGGTGTCCCCTCCCACAATTATCATAGATCTGCCACCCGTGTCGTCGCACTTCTCCTCAACCCATTTTGTAACTTTTTCTTGGGAGCATCCCATTGTTAGGCGGCAGATACACTGCAAGTAGTGTGACGTCGTACGCTCTTCTCCTCAATATGTCGTTCTACCTTGCAGTTGGACAGGAAGTGAGTAGTGCGCGCGGAAGGCCATGTTTGTCATCATCTCGTTGGGAATCATGAACGTCGTACCACATGATTTGGTAATCAATGTTCCCCTTCTTTGCCCCGAACTGCAGAGCCATATGATATTTGCGGCTCGTGTTCTTCATCGGCTCTGGCCCAGCCCATTGGCGTGCCCCTGTCAATACAATCACATCCCACTCTGTCCGTGGTATTCGCTGCACGAGGATGGTAGAATACCAGCCTCATCAGCGCCCATGTCTAGAGCGATGCAATCGCCATCCGTCTGCAATGCCCCCCTAGCTCCCTCTCTGGCCCGTGAGATTGCAGGGCGGTCGTTGCGAGAGAGTGTCAGCAACTCCTCTCTCCGTCGGTTCTCAAAATGCCTGAGCCTCCAACGCCGACTAGGCGGAGGAGGAGGAGGAGAAGGAGAAGGAGGGGGAGAGTGGGGAGGAGGAGGGGGGCGCGGGCGCGGGCGCGGGCGCGGCCTGCTGAGGTCGATGCCAAGGACGGAGCCTGCGGGGCGCAGATGTGGGGGGGAACCCCAGGCGCAAATCACCACGACGACCACGAGCCCCACCGCGACTACCAGCACGACCACCAGCACGACCACCAGCACGACCACCAGCACGACCACTGCGACGGCTTCGACCACGAGTCCAGCGTGCTACAACCCCGACGCCTACGACCCGTGGAGGAGACCCCGTCGCGGCAGCAAGGGACCGTTACGATGAGATGACCACAGGCTTAGCGACTCGAACGGCCATTCAGGGAAAGGAGGGAGGAGAGGGCTGGAGGGGGAGGGGGAGGGAGAAGGAGAGGGAGGGGGAGGGAGAAGGAGAGGGAGGGGGAGAGGGAGGGGGAGGGGGAGAGGGAGAGGGAGGGGGAGAGGGAGAGGGCAGCAGGGCGAGGGAGAGGGCAGCAGGGAGAGCGGAGCGCAGGAGCCCAGGGAGCAGGGACGCAGGCATGAGGCAGGGAGCAGGAAGCAGGCGGCAGGGAAAGGGCGGAGAAGCCGGAGGGAGAGGGGGGGAGAAAGGGAGGAAGTGAAGTGGCCAGAAGAAGTAGGAGAAAAGATAACCAATGTAGAAAGGGGCTAGAGACCTGTGATGTGTTAGCCAGGATAGGCCCCAAGCAGTGTGCGTTTGTCGACATGTGTTGCGCTATATATACTTATATATATATATATATAGAGAGAGAGAGGAAGAGATGTGGAGCCATCTTTGTAATACAATCAATAGATATGTTCACATGTCCGATCTACATGTAAAAGGGTGTGCACATACAAGTGGTGCAACGCATGCGGTGCAATTTACTTGGTGCAACCTATGTGGTACGATATGTGGTGTGCCATCTATGTTGTACAATATATGTCATGCGGTCTTCCCTGTGCAATATAAGTGGTGCAGTATACGTCGTGCAAAATATGATGTGTGGTGGAATCGATGTGGTGCAATCAATGTGATGCAGTATATGTGGTGAGATATTCGTTGCGAATTCTGCGTGGTGCAATATATGTGGTGCGATCTACGTTGCGTAATCTGTATAGTGCAGCCCATGTGGTGCAGCAAATGTGGTGCAATATACGTGGCGCAATCTACGCGGTGCGATTGACTACACTGCACCGCGCGCGACCACCTCCCACGCTCGCGCAAACATCCCGCCCACACACCCGCAACTTGGCCGGCAAAACCTCCCCGAGGCAACGCTTGAAGACCATGTGGAGCACCCGAGCGCAGGCCCACGCCGCGCAGAAGAAGCCCATGCTGCAGGACAGGCTGCGCAGATCCTAGAGGCTCCACAACGTCCTCCTCCTCCTCCTCCTCGCCCTCCTCCTCCTCCTCCTCCCCTGGAGGGGGGTCCCTGCGAGCCTCCCGCTGCTAACGCCGAGGCTAAGTCGGGCCCCGTATGGTATTACGCGGCACGGAGGAGGGCGTGCCCCGCATGGTGTTATGTGACAGGGATGGCGCCCCCGGCACGTGCGCGAGGGCATGAAAAGGAAGCGCGACATGCCTGCGCAAAAGCCTCCATGGACAGGAATGTTCAAATAACGATGTCCTACAAATCCGTAACAGCACTGGGATGGCATGTTGGGCACCTGTTGTTGGGAAAGAACTGGCCTTGAATATTTGTACGCTAAAACCGCTACGAAACAAACGTTCTAGAAGGATTTCGACGCGCGCGCAAGTGGCCCGCGTGGTATCATGTGGCAAGGATTCGAGCACTGGGCGCATGCTAAAACAATGCGGCTGTCTCGCGTGGCAAAATGAAATTGTAAGTTTCCCACGAGTGTTAGAATCAGGCGGTTTCGTGTGCTGTCAACAAGTTGGCGCGGCCAAAAGCTTTGCTATTTGTTGTTGGAAAACCAACGGGCTCTCAATGCTTGCACGTTGTGATTATTGCAAACAACACATGGTTGGGGTGATTATGGCATGAGCGCGCGAGTGTGTGGGGGGTAGTTGAGCCAAGGGGTTCTTGACAAATCAAATTCGGAAATGAAACATGTGCGCGCGCAAAGTATGCTTTGACAAGGATGACGGGGGGGGGGGGGACACCAGCCGAGCTAGGATGGTAGGATTTCCCATGAGAAATGAGCGAGGAGGCGAATCACATGCAAATCCCACCAGCCCTCTGGGCGTCGGTGGTTTAAGGAGTTTCCTCTTCCACCCCTCCTTCCTCCCCTTCGGGGAGGGGTTTACCCCTCCCGCTACCCCCTCCCCTGGGCCTGGACTCTTGGTTCGCAAGGTGTCGGAGCGTCCAAGACGGCCTCGGCGAGGAAGCCAAAATCACTGGTTTTACCAAGTATTTGGCAACATGTGGGCCTCCTGAGGGGGGGACCCTAATTAGGGACCCCCCCCCCTCCTGTGATCGATCTCACCCAAGATGGCCCAAAGATGGCCCCCAAGGCTTCCAAGGGTGCCCCAAGAGGGCCCCCACAGGTGGCCAGGAAGCCCCAAGAGGCCCCCAGGATGCCCCCAAAAGGCTCCCAAGAAACCTCCAAGAGGCCCCAAAAGACCCCCCAGGGGCACCGAAGATGCTCCAAGAGGCCTCGGCGAGAATGCTAAATCATTGATTCGCTATGGTTTTAGCCACATGTTGGCCTCGTGGGGGGGGCACTGATTAAGATGACTCCAAAAGCGCCTGGGAGAGAGAGCCCAAGATGACCTCCAAGATGGCTCAGGATATCCCAAGATGTCTCATAATGGCTCCCACGATGCTCCAAGATGCAAAGAGCTCCCCCAGGAGGCCCCGATGAGGCCAAAACCTTAGGAGCATATATGTGTTTGGCCTTCTCGCCTTCTCGCTTCCGATGGCCATCCGAAGCCTCAACATGGCTCCAAGATGGCCCAAGAGGGCTCCAAGAGAGGCTCAAGAGAGCCCCAAGACGCCTTCAAGAGCGCCTAAGAGCGCTCCAGGAGCGCCCCAAGAGCAAGAGGCGATTTGTTGGCGCCCCCGAATGGCAACGCTAACGAATGCTCGCTTCTTGTTTGATCGATGTCATCCAAGATGGCCCCAAGAGCGCTCCCAAGGCTCCCAAGAGCGCTTCAAGAGGGCCCCAAGAGGCGCCCAGGAGGCCCCGACAGGCGCCCAAGAGGCCTCCAAGAAGCTCCCAAGAGACCCCCAAGAGGCCCAAAGAAGCTTTCCGAGGCACCCAAGACGCTCCAAGAGGCCTCCACTGGGGGACCCCTCCTCTGCGTGCTGCCCACTTCCCTGATCGAGGCAATTCCTGTGGGCAACGTTTCTGGATGGGCTGGTGGGGTTACTTTTTGGTCAGCGGCTCCAAGGCAACGGACAGGGAGCGGAAGCGGCGTCCAGGTCACGGTACGGGGCTAATTAGCTACAACAGGCACAGGCCGGCCGGCCCGCTCACAAAGCAGCCGCGAAGCTGAACAGAGGCAGACGCTGCAGGTGACCTGATCCTGGAGCTCTTGCACGTGCACAGACAAAATGCCATAGAATTCGGTGCCTGCCACAGTCCGAGACGTGAACCGAGAAACCAAGCCCGTCGCGAGACGAGAACCAGGATGACCAAGTCCGTCAATCTGAATGGGGGCAAGAGGGAGGCTGGTGGAGTGAGTCGCCTGTGGGGCGCCAGACTCCAGACGCCCACTGCGACGTCTGCAAGCCAGGGAGGGCAGGGCTGTCGCGGAACGTGGTGCAACGCACTTGCCGGAAGCTGGTGGGTGAGCCTGGGGTGATGTACCAGCTGCGGAAAGCTGAACCACTCCATGGCGACACCAACACCCGAAAGACCACCCCACAGGGCATGGGGGACCCAAGCGACTGTGGGCCACGCAGCGCGTGCCGGCACGGCGCCAGGCCTCAGTGAGGGGGGGAGGACCAGCTGGCGTGGTGAGCATCGCCAGCGGGGGGAGTGAGGGGGGGCTGCACTGGGGTAGTGCTGCCATCTGCGGTGTCATAGGGCGAAGCGCCAGGGAGAGCTGCACTGCGGAGGACACGGGGGCAAAGAGGCAAGCCTGGCCCAGTCCGCCGCTTGGCACTGCCCCCCAGACCCGTGAGCCTACGCACATCACGTGGTCCCATAGGGCCGACGAAAACGACGCGGAGAGTGATGAGCCAGACCACGAGCAGCGCGGAACACGGGCGGCCCTGGGAGGGGGGGCAACCACACCGACGTCAGACAGTACGTCAGGCAGGCCCCGAGGCCAAGGGCGTGGGACACCCGCCTGGCCCGAGAGGGGAGAGGCGAGGGGAAGCACCGCCTCTCCCCTCGGCCTGGCCCCGAATCCGAGGGCTAGGGGCCACGGTCATCTCTTGGATCGTTCTCGGGGGTCGCAGCTAATCGCCGCTATGATCTCTCATCTCCTCGGGGGTCGCAGCTAATCGCCGCTGAGATTTTTCTTTAATCACCTCGGGGGTCGCAGCGAATCGCCGCTATGATCTCTATTGTTGGTTGGTGTGTCCGATTGTTGGTTCTTTTCATTTACTCGGGGGTCGCAGCTAATCGCCGCTGATCACTATTTGATGGTCGGTGTGTGTCCGGTTGTTGGTCCTCCAGTGACGCGGCAAACCGCAGCTGATGTGGAACGGCAGAGTGACAGAACAGCGGGGGTGGTTGGCCCTAGGGGGTCGCAGCTAATCGCCGCTTGAGCCGCTATTGACGGAGAGGTGCCCAGGCAAGACAGCAGAGGCATGCCGCCGACCCCAGTGCAAGAGCAGTGCACACTGCCACTTCCAGCCACCGTCACATGCGTTGCGACACCCGCAGGGCCCCCAAGGAGAGAGGCGGGGGGAAAGCCACGCCTCCCGTCGGTCAGGCCCCGCACTCGTGGGATAGGTGGCATACCCGCCGAGCTAGGACAGAGCCTGCTGCCATTGACCGCTCTTCACGCACACTCAGACCCCACTGCTGTAACAGGTCACGTAGGGCCCCGATGCAGCCTGCTGCTTTTGCCGGGCAGCGACAGGGCCTGCTGTCAGTGCCCACCCCTCTCGCACCTGATCCCGGCGCCGCAACTGAAGACAGCGGCTTCCAACTTAGCTCCCCACATCCCGGC